AGACCGTGCAGAGGTTCACTTATGACGTCATAGGTCAGTGACCTGACCTGACCCAAAAATGCGATTGGTGTCAAAAGATCCGGCTTGAATCAAAGGTCAGGTATGCCAAGTTTCAGCGCTCTATCGCCAGCGTGTTCGGAGCAATCGCGAAAAAAAACCTATGGGGGGGGGGCGGCACCCGCACCCCCCCCCCTCGGCCGGCGAGGGTTAAGGAGTCAGGCTATAGTTCGTTTTTTTTTTTTCAAAAGGACGCTGACTCCAAGTATGTTTTTCAAACAAGCACGTGTTTTAGTGATCAAAACGAGCAAAAACTGAACCTGAGAAAATCGAACGTCGACTAATTTTAACATGTGATTTCTTCCCGATGATTTCCATATGTGCGTTTTGGAACCAGATATGAGAACAGTGGTGACGTCATGCTGTCCAACATGTATTGGAATGTAACGTATAACTATCATGGACGGAACCGCTTACTCGATGGGTGACGGCACGTGATGGCCTGAGGCGGTGGGGGGTAAAAATATTTTCGTCATTTGATGCTCAATGCAATCGCTGCGACTTTTTACAAGATCTTCTCCTCGTCGATGTTTCTTGCTTTCAACGACTGGTCCCCGAGTGATGACTATCCTCACGCAAGATAAGATGAATGGAGCTAGCAATTAAGCTCAAAAAGACATATCGAAAATGTTACAAAACACTTCTTTTGAAGGAGATGAATTGAATGGTTTTGGAGCCTCACGAAACATGTTTCAGATAGGGTAAGGGCGGGTAAGAGGACGCGGGCGATAAGAGTACGCATCAGCTGTTTCGGTTGCTTAGCAACGCGGGTTTGTCGAGTTCATGAAGTGACATGAAGCCGCCAGTGCGTGTTTGTCACCAACGGAACGTGGGCGTTGTGCGGCGACGCTGTTGAGTTTAAGGCGATGAATATTATTTTCGAGCGTTATGATATTATTATGGTATGATACAATGATTTTGATACTTGGCAGTTGAGATAAGGTACATTTTCGTGATTGTTGTGGGAAACTTGTGAGGTTTTCTGGGGAAACACTGTGCAGTGCAAATTGCAATATTCTGTTTGTGAAGTTTTGCACAATGTTTCGGGGTTGATTTGTGCGCGAATTGCATGTAGGGTAAGAGGACGCACTGTTCATGAGGGTAAGAGTACGCAGAATTATACATTATATCGAATATACAGAAATATGAAATTATTTATATATTGCTCAATGACGTTTGTTTTGTAGGTATATCATCCATGGAGCACTGTGAGGCAGATGCGTACCCGAAATTCCAAATAGGTACGAGTTATTCTCCCTTTTGATTGTACATTTTTTTAGAACCACATGACATGATTATTTCTTGATTTATAGATTTGCAAGATTTATTTTATGTTTTTCTTTTTGGATACTAGAATTGAATTAAATGTCTTCTGAGTTTGATGTGAAGCATTTGGACAGTACAAGCTGCATAGATGTGTGTGTTCATATGCTTGCGTACTCCACCCGCCTGGCGTGCGTAGGGGAGAGTGGGGTAATTTGGCCGCTTTTTTTAGAAAACGATGCAGCTTAAAATTGACGACACATTTCTGCATTTTCTCAATGCTGGCAGGTGTCGCATTCATTTTACTTTACTGGACAGTAAACTTGAAATGATAGAGTAATTACTTGTATTGAAATTGTGACGTATTACAAAGGTCTGCAAGGCGGCCAAATTGCCCCACTAGCAGGGTTATTTGGCCGGGGGTGTGGGGCAATTTGGCCGGTGTTAGTTTGCGGTCGGGATTTTCTCTTATATTGCGAGTCAGCTTCAGATTCAGCAATGACGTGTGTCCTATGACGCATTTGCCGCATTTTGGAGGTTGACTCAGGGGTCACAGGGGTCAAAATAGCCAAATTAGCGGCTCTAGATGCGAAGACAGTTTTTTACGAATAACTTTTGAAGTAATCAAGCTGGGCCAAAACTTCGAGTACCATCGTAATTCTCTCGTCAGTCCGCATCGAAACATATATGTGTTGACCTCGAGAAGTCAAGGTCAAAGGTTGACCTCAGGGCTCAGGTCACGTTACCTCAGGTCGCTTGACCTCAAGGTCACGTGATTTCAAGGTCATCATACATATCATTCGATGCGCCTTGGCGAACTGAACAGAATGAGACCATTTGTGCGGCTGCACCATTTTTATGTAAGGATTTATTAGCAAAAAAACGTTTGGTAGCCTTTGATGACGTCACATGCTCTTACAGTTGACCAATCGGAAGTAAGGCATCAAAGTAGTCAAAGTTGGTCATGAATCATGTCATCTATGGTACAATTGACCATGAAAACTTGGCCGTCCTAGCATAGTGACCATGAGCGCACCGGCCAAGTTGCCCCGCTAGTCCCGGCCAAATTACCCCATATTGCCATTCTGAAAACTGTTGTCTATAAAGTCATCACGGCTATACGGAATTAAATGAAATTACTCTTGGAACCGCTGAACACCCCCAAGAATGGCGCTATGATGTCTGAATTCGTTTTTTAGCCCAAATACTACATGTTATACAACTTTGTTAACAGAAGCAAAAGTTACCATTTTCTAATGAAATTAACGTTTTATTAATTTTGAATAAAACTACGAGGGGCAAAGTTTTGACATTTGTCCTCCAGTTATTTCTACCCATGACAAATGAATAGAGACTAGAGTTATTTCACTCACTTTTATGAGACATGGTACAGGTGGGGGCGGCCAATTTACACCACCGGCCAAATTACCCCACTCTCCCCTACTCTTGCACACCCCATATGGTAAGAGTACGCAACAGCAGCGGTTCAGAAAACGTCAGTTACCACTTCCATTTACGCTGAAGGATCGTTGCCTCATGGGTTGATGGCTAATTCAATTATCTTTAATATTCCACATTTGCGATTTCTTTCTTTCAAATATTAAACAAATGAGAGCAAGAAATCCACTAAGTGCGTACTCTTATACGACTTCACCCTATGACGCGTAAAACAAACTGACGCATAAAGACTGTGTTCAAAAGTGTGAGCGGCATCTCCGCAAGCACCTGTTGACAAATGAAAATCGTAGGTACTGCTCGGTCGCCATAGCAACAAGTAAGCGTCACAAATTTCGAACACTATCTGATTGCGCCAAGTTCGACTACATCGAGGACGATGGGTGATGGTTGCCAGTTGATTAAATTAATGAAACGCGAATAAATTCAATTTTTGTTTGAGATTGCGAGTTAAATCTGTTAATTTCAAATATCATGAAATTAGTTTTTGTATATAGAATAACTACAAACTCCTCTGTGCAAGGAATAAATCAAGGCTTATGAAAATTGTGAGTAGGGTTGGGAAAAGCAGAAAAAGGATCACGTGACTCGCGTCCCAACCTTATCTGCAAGAATCTTGAGCTCGGCAACAGTGAAAAACTAAGTTTCACCCAAATTCGTTGACACTTGTCCCATTGTACGGACATTTGGGTGCCTGCTGCCACCAGTGACGTCATCATAGTATGTTCATTTTTAAGAAACGATTTCCAGCTACTTACCGTGCACAATTTAAAATCGATTATTTTTTTTCGGTAAGACATTCTTGGCCAGACACTGAAGCTGCCAAAACTCACGAGAGAGCTTCGATATTGAACTTTGAGCCAGCGTCATTTTGAAGAAGAAAAAAAACTATAGTCGCTGAGCTCTGAGATCATGTCAAGTGCTCCATGATAGTTCGTTTTTTGGTGAATAACTGACCCAAAAAAATTGTTAAAGAGTCACGATTTTGACACCATTGTATTCCCCCTGCTCAGAACCCGTCAAATGGTTCAGTTAAGTGAGCTGACCTGACCTTTTTGCCTGGAGAAGATCAACTTGTGCGTTGACCTTCAGGCCAAGGGCAGGTCGAAGCCACTCAGGACACAAAGCTGGTCAAAATAATACATGCTGCATATCATTCGATCTGGCAGGTATTTCTGAGTCCATTGGTGGCTTTTCCAACTGGATAGCTCAATTCGTTTAGGAGTTATTGATGGGAAAAGTTCGATGACCTTATTTACGTCGACGTCACGCAAAGTCAACAACGCAAATATTTTTCATCGAACGTCGCAAGGTGTGTATGAAAGCTTGATTCCATCTTAGGATAGTCTTGAATCATTTCTCGCCTAAAAATAGATATTTCTATATCTCCCAATTGACTTAAAATGGTACGGTCACGTGACTGACCTGATCTCAGGTGAGCTTTATAAAAAATCCGAGATGTACAAGTTTTGATGGCTCGGAAGATCACTCAATCCTGTAAGTTTCATCTTCTTGTGAAAGATTTCCTGTCACTTAGGGTGTTGTGACTGCGATATTTTAGGACCATACAGAGGGTTACTTATGGCGTCATAGTTCAGTGACCTGACCTGAGCTGAAAAAAATGGTGTCACGAGATCCAGCTTAAATCAAAGGTCAAGCATACCGGCTTTTATTTTTTCCGTGACCAGCGCGTACCGAGTAATCGCAAAAAAAAACACATCGAGCGATGGGGTTTGCACTCGTGCCTCCTCTCGGCCGGGGAGGGCGACTGATCAATAATCAAGGTCAATATATGGGATTAGTGGGCCTAGATGTGACTCTGTGCGCACTAGTGGACTCCCTGAAGTAATTGGTGACTTGCTTGCATTCAGTTCAAGACCTAAACGGCTAATTTTCAACATAACACCGAGCGCCGTTACTTCAAGGTCACGCGCGGTTACTTAACATATGTTTGCATATATATGCCATTTTCTTCAAACTCAATGGCCCACTCTAAATTTTTTCACAGGTTGTTAAGAAGATGGTACGCAATAAAATATATAAAAATGAGCCAAATCGAAGGTGGCGTGTTTTTTCCTATTTCAATTTTTGTGCTTAATGTAAAACTCAAATGTAAAACGGCGTCCATTGATGTCGCCAATGATGGATACCCTGTAGGCGTCCATGTGGGTAGGTGGTGCCTCGGCTGGGCTGGGCTGGGCTGGGGCTTTGGGCGCGCCACTCACCAGTTCCTTGTGCCGGCAGCACTGGATGATCTCCGAGAGCAGCCGCTCGGCCTGCTCCTGGCGGGCCAGGCCGAACGTGTCGCGGACAGTGCGCACCAGGTGCTCCCGCATCTCGGGCACGGCCAGCAGCACGGCGCCGCCAGCGCTGTGCAGGTGGCTGCAGGGACAGAGCCACACAGTCACACACGCACCGCCAGTCCACAGTTAGACGGCGCATCGATTAGATAGGCGGATCTTTGATCTAAGTGGATCTCTTTACAAAATGGAGGGGTCGGACCTATGATCGCATAGGATCTCGCGACTAGTCTGTAGTAGAGATGTCAATCGTATGCCAACTCTTTGGTATACCGATACCAAACCGATACCAACTTGGTATTTGGTATTTCAATCGTAATGTGTTTGGTATTTTGTTGGTATGATGAACCCTCACTAATGTATAAGAGGCTAAGAAATCGGTAAAAAGTTGGTATTTCCCTCATTTTCCCAACTTGGTTTGGTTTCGGTATTTCCCCATAGTTTTGGTTGGTATTTGGTTTGGTATCGGTATTCCGATTTTCCGTAATTGACATCACTAGTCTGTAGGTTAGGTCTGGAGACTACAGACTAAATTTCTAGGTCTGTGGACTACAGACGACTAGTTTGTAGACGCGCTTCCCTGCCTGGCTGGAGGGTGTGAGACTGCCGTCCGCGGCGCCGGCCGAGATCGTGTTGCTGCAGACACTGGCCGCTGGGGACGGGCGGGCCACGCCCCAGACGGCCTTGCTGGCTGTGGCCGGGTCCTTCTTCATCACACCCAACCTGTCGTCAAATCATACCGGAGTCCTGTCGCCAAATTATACCGGAGTGACTCCGGTATGATTTGACGACAGGTTGGGTCCGCTAAATAAGGACCCGGCCACAGCCAGCAAAGCCGTAGCTGGGGCGTGTCCGGCTCGTCCACGGAGCCCGGAGGCCAATGTCTGCAGCGACCCGGTCCCAGCCTGCGTACACCATAAATTCCAAACTGACCCGGTCACCTGGTCAATGATGAGCATTATTGGTACGTGACTAGACTGAGCTTGCATAATTTTCCAACATCACTGGGGTGTCGGCACCCGGGTTGAACTCAGGTCATATGGTTTAGCGACCAACTGTCGGTGGAGCTCGCGGAACATCTAGGTGCATCCCCTGCATGCCACTGAACGAAATAAGCCTATCCTAAATGAATCCTTATGTAATCGCTGTTTACATTACTAGGTTATTACCGTTTCAACCAGATTGCTTGCTATTGGTTAGAAAAGCCTGATTTTGGACATTGTTTACGCAAGGAAAATGACACACAAGGACGAGGAAAACGCCTTAAATCTTTTTCAGACGAACAGATCGATGATTCATAGGGGAAGCGGGGGTAGCACCGCCATGTGGGAAACACCGCCATCCTCTCTATCGGCAAAACTCTGAATTGTAAATGTAAACACCCGCCATTTCGGTATCCGAACGGAAACGGGACGCCGCGTGAGGTAGGTTCCGCTAAGATTTATTTGATTTTGAGATCGCAATTGCCCATTTTGTGAATTTCAAACCATCGTTGTAATCATTTGGCATGTTTGAGCAGCAAGTAAGTGGTCATTTCAAGTCAAAATGCCTTGATTTTTACGTTAAATTTGAGGGCATGAAGTGCTCTTTGTTGAGAAAGGAATTACAGAAGAATCGCGTCCCGGCTTGTTTTGTTGTCGGGGCGTTGTCGGTCCATGACTGTGAGTGGGGTAACACCGCCATGCTCGGCGGTGCTACCCCAAGGGGTGGCAAAATGGATAAAGCCGCAATGATGATTCACTCAGCTCGGAGAAGAGCTTTAGTTAGGCCGCAAACGTCGTCTGTTTTTTAACCTCACGTTTGACTTCACTGGATGTTTCGAAATAAACGTGAATTTGTCATGCTTTTTATGCATATTGTCCGCAACAAACAGTCTGATCTGTGACAAACTAACAACCAACTCTTGTGTGTCTTATATGAGTTTGAGTTACTATTTCAGACAGCAGTAACGCTAACGCTTCCAAGGGTGGCTGTCACCGTAAGGCCGATCTGTGGATAACATCGCCATCAGTGGCGGTGCTACCCGCACATTTTTTGGAGGACGGAAAATGCAGGACTTGTTTTCAATGTCTGTAAAGCAGCGAAATTTTATAATGGAGCGCTGGAAACTATGCCAACATGTAGGAAAACATTCCTACTTTCGCATGAATGCAAAAGAGCTTCGTTTTTACTACGCATATCAGCTCGGTGAGCAGAAATGCTTAAGGTGGCGGTGCTCCCCCCGCTTCCCCTATGTCTCTTTTCGCAAGATGGACCTGATGATAAAACATGTTAATGATATCACAATGACCTTTACAAAATACAGGAATCGAAGTTTGGGAACTAGTGCTGCCACCTATAGACAAAACTGTACCACTCTTATAGTCTGATAAACCTAAGAAAGAACGGATTCAGAGCGCAACCACCATTGATGCACGTTTCGATGTTGAATAAAATATATTGAATAATATTTCTCTCACGACTTTTTACACGAATTTTCTTCGATTATACGCGTCCAGTGATCAAAACACGTGGCAAAATTATTCAGGAGGCTAAGAAGCTCTAGCTCCGTTCTTTCTTAGGTTTGCCAGACTAAAGTTCGACATCCACCATCAGAGGAAGACTGACCCAACGGGCGCAATTATAATTGAACGCTGTTGCCGAATCAGTTGAGTTATATTACTGCTTTTAGTGACATTGTGACGCTAACATGTCATGTTTCATTTCTATATAAAGTTTTCATCCTTAAGACAACCCACTTTTTGATTAGGCAGTGAAGTTTCGATATTATCATTTCATCCAAAAACTTCCACGACGTTTCGGGGGCATTTTTACGAATACCTCATTTTTCTCAACGGATTCGGAATCAGCATGAAAAATGCTTCATAATCCAGGCTATGGGCTATGACTCCATAAACTTTGCAAAAAGAGCCACCCTAAAGCGATTGATCAGTTACTAAGATTGGAGTCCAGTGTCAGAAAGGGTTTCTTTTATAACAGGCATACACCAGCTGTATTTAGAACCTATCCATGTCAGGTTAGATGATGATGCAAATAACAAACAAATTTACAGATGCTTTCAAATATATTCGAAAGAACACACAGGGCTTTCGGTTCATGGAACCTTGATCACTGTGCAAATCAAGGCCGTATATGAGAGATAGAACAGCTAGCCGTTTGTTTACATCGGTGACCCGCAAAAGATGACGTCAGCGGGTGTCTGCCAGTCTTCGCAAATATTTATTTTTGAGGATTTCAGCCTCTAACCCTCGCCGGACCTATTGGTTTTCTACATACGCGCCGGCCGAGGGGGGGGGGGCGGGTACGACCCCCCCTCGCCGTTTCGCCCCTGGTGGAGCTAGCGCGTCGCGGAAAAAACGAGCGTGTGCGCCGTTACGAGACGCAGAGACGAGACGCGGTCCAATGCCTGTAGGTCGTTTCGGTATGCAAGGAGGTCTTCTTTGACGTAGCGAACATTTGGTCTGCGCTGCGCCCATCGTCTATACGTTGTTACAGCCCATTCCGTCGTCTTTCTTGTGTTCGCTGGAACGCATTCCGCCACTCTATCTGCCAGCTCTTGGGAAGGCAAATCGCTGTTTTCTTCACTGTCAGTTACATCTGAATCCATGTTTCTACAATTACTTAAATCACATTTCAACAATCGTCCAAAGAAGTTTGGGCACCTAGGTCTCAAAGCTCAGAGTTATAAAAAAAAAAAAATCGGCTCGAAGCTAGTTTTGAATCATTCAGATATCTGATGGATCCTATTGGCCTTGGATGGATCTGATGCGTTATCAAGATTCATTCGATTCATTTAGTCATGTTTTCAATGCAGTTTAAAATGTATAAATTTTCATGAAACGTGCAAGTTCTTGCGAAACAAATATTTGGGCTCCACCACGGGAAGAAAAAGTCTGATTAACAATATTATTCCCGGGATTAATTTCTGTTATACCTTGGTTATACCGACGTTTTACTTAAAAAACTGAAATCACGCGCGCGTTTACAGACAGCCCTCCGATGCTGCAAAAATCACTCGTAATATCAAGATTTAAGCATACTTCTTTAACATGCGTGAACGGCGCAAAGTCGTAATAATATATAACATAATTATATAATATAATATATAATATAATTATATAATATAATATATAATATAATATATAATATAATTATATAATATAATATATAATATAATTATATAATATGATATATAATATAATAATATAATATAATATATAATATAATTATATAATATAATATAATGCTAATATTCGGGGAAATAGTTTCAATTCCCATAATTGATAGTTAACCCGGCGGCCGCTGGGCCTCCGCGCCACCTGCCGGCCGCTGGGGGGGCATATAGTTGCCCCCTTTACTTCTGCGACGATATCGTCGCAACGCGAAGAGATAGAGAAGCGAAACTTTGCACACATCTTCCTGAATACATAGCCAAGGTTGTGTCCAAATTTGGTGTCGATCCCATTTGAAATGACGTCACAGTGACGTCATAAATGAAATTATAGATTTGCGACTCTCATATTTATCACGATACATCAGATATATGGGACCGAATATAAAGGGTCGATTTTTGGTCGGAAACTAGATGGAAGTGTAGTTAGATGTTTTAGGATGACAGCAGGTGCTGTCTAGTTCATTTACAGTTGAGTTTCATGCTCAGCGTCATCAGAAACGGTCCATATTGGAAAAGGATAAAACTTTATGACGTCACTGTGACGTCATCTTAGGTGCTACAACCGCCAAACTTCCCTCAAACATTGCCTAGGCATTCATTTGAAGCTATGCCAAGTTTCACGTTCGTAGCTCATCAGGTTTCGGAGATATTTCACAAAAGGTAAGGGGGGGGGCAACTTTATGCCCCCCAGCGGCTCGTGGGTTTTAAGAAAAGAACTAGTGGCTATGTCGAGCAGCACGCTGCCACTGACTGGCGCCATGAGCGTGCGCCAGTGGTGGCGGCGGGGCCGTTACCGATAGACGAAGGAGACGATGTCGGAGGCGCGCCCGGTGCCGTCGCACACCACCACCGGCACCGGCGGCGAGTCGGTGACGTACTCCAGAATGGCGCGCACCGTGTTGCTACCGCCCTCGATGACAACACAGACGAGCGGCGTGCCCTGGCCACCACCTGTCAGCCACACCGACACCGTCACTCACACCGACCTCACACGGTGACCGATAGTCGGAATCAGACGATATGCTCGAATAGTTGTCAAGAGTTCAACACGAAACCCTATTCAGTCGCATGTAATAATGGAGGTTGGTTTTTTCAAGGCAGTGATGTCAATTAAAGAAAATCGGAATACCGACACCAAACCAAATACCAACCAAAACTGTGACGAAAGAACGAAACCGAACCAACTTGAAAAAAAAAACGAGGGAAATACCAACTTTTCACCAACTTTTCAGCCTCTTATACCGGGAGTTCCCGAAAAATGGACGGATTTAAAATTTATCTAAAAATTCTAAGAATTATCATATCAATGAAGTACCTTCACCAGATAAAAGCCAGTTCGGTGCTTTTTTGTTTGCTGCTAGTTACGGAGCGAGCGAAGCGAGCGGAGTCTTCCCTTAGATTAACCCGCGCCGGGCCGGTGCTCTGAGATTCCGCGCCGGGCCGCGGAAGGGGGTCGTGTCTGAACACCCCCCCCCTTCTAACTTGGCTCCTGGGCCACGTAGCGACACGCGGTAAGCGGCAATCGAAAGAACGTCCAAAATAAGGACGAAAACACTTCGGTCATTTTTTGGGTCAGGTCAAAGGTCAGGTCACCAGAGGTCACCAAAGGTAAAATGTTGACTATTTCAACATTTTGGAAACTGCCAACGGCTTTCTCGGGAACCGATAGAGCTACAGCGCCGCGGAAAAGCGCATTCGATAGCCCTTTCACAGACCTTTCTGAGTAATGTTCTCAGATTTGACCTCAGGTCAACGGTTTAGCCTCCAGAGGGCAAAAACTCCAAAAATAGCCGTTTTTACGAAAAGCGTTTTTTCGGCAATAACTTTTGACTCAGAAGAGACATGACAATACTTTTGCCAGCATCGTGTTTCTCTTGTCGAGACGCGTCGAATGAACTATAATTTGACCTTGAAAGGTCAACTTGAAAATTTGACCTCAGGTCAAGGTCATGACCTGACCGGAAAAGGTCATGTTGCACATCAGTCGATCCGCAACGTCCAGCCGAACACACCTAAGGCGTTTTCAGCGCTCTAGCACGCCTCTATCAGAAGACATTAGCGAAAAACTGTTAGATTCTGTTCGTGACCTGAGATGACCTCGGGGACATAACGAGGGGTCACAGTTGCCATTTTCCGGTTCAGTGTGTCAATTTTACCTACATCTCGATGTTTGAGAGTGTCTAGAATAACGTTCGTGCAAAACAGACGCTTTTCAATTTTCTCCCATTGACTTATAATGGAGAGGCCGCAAAATTGACCTGACCTTAGGTCACCGATATCAAAATTCCGAGATATACATTTTATAGATAATATTGCTCTAATCAATCGCTGAAAGTTTCAGGGCAATCGATCAATCGATGTAGCTATGACGAGCATTCTTATTTTTTTCTGAGGTGAGGTTACTTGGGGTGACCTGGTGACCTGACCTAAGGCGACCTGGGTCTGAAATTTTCACAACATGTGCGGAAAAGATGCACGAACAGGTGTGCCAAAAACGTCCGCGCCGCCGTTTTTGAGATATCTGCGACAAACCGCAAGGGGGGTGTTCAAACACCCCCGGCACGGCGCGGGTTAACGGAAATTTTTGAGTATGAGACGCCGGCCGGCCGGCCGTGCGGACGCTTTTGCGAGGCTTATATCTCAGCAACCACTTGACCGATCTACACGCGGTAATTTTTGTAGGGTAGCTTCATTCCTTCTACCAAGTATTGGAATATTCCCGATGCTTGTGAGTGACCCCTTATGCACGTGCCACGTGCAAAACGAAGAGAGGTCAGTTTTGTAATTGTTGCAATATCTCGGTAACTACTTGGCCGATTGCGCTGAAAGTTGGCATATAGGTAGGCACCCACTAGGCACTGCATATCCATGTGCCAGAGTTGGGGTGCTGCTGCACGTGCGCACGTGCAGGAGTCGTTTCCAGATCTCGAGAACGGCTGGACCCATGGCGCTCAAATTTGGTACACGGTTAGGGACCAGTAGTAGGGTGCCGTGCACAAGTCAGTTGGGATCCATTTTGCACATGCGCACGTGCAGGGTGCCGCTTCCAGATCTCGAGAACGGCTGGGCCGATTGTGCTCAAATTTGGCACATCGCTAGAGACCGGTTAGTAAGGTGCCGTGCACAAGTCAGTTGGAGCTACCCCCTCGAAATTTCGCACGTGCAAGGCCCACCCTCTCCTCGCTCCGTTACTCGCCCCAAAGGGCGTTTTACTGGTCTTATTCGCTTTCTGTAGCCATACGAAAAAAAGACGTGCGACCAAGATACTACATTTACAATTCAAGGCGAAATATGTCGTGGAGGCCGGCAGGAAATTTAGGAGTTTTTAAAATCGCATAAAGCCCCATCAATAATTTTAATTATGGGTTGCTGCGGACATTTTGAACACAGGGAAGCGTCGCAAACCTGTACAAGACAAGAAGTGATCGGTAGCGAGTCCGGAGGACACCTGGAAGGACACGAGATTTGGATAATTTTGGTTTGAAAAATATGGCGGGCGTGAGTGAGACAATGAACGCCCAGCGACGCATGGCAGCGCTGTTTAGGCTCTGGACGGCGTTAAAGTGACCATCCCACCTTAACATTAGTTTTGAGTTGAGATAGCCAAATTGGTGGCCATGGCCTGCAAATACCAGTTTGGGCACTTACAACATCGAAAAATGCTTGAATTCGGAGATATGGAATTTCAAACTTGCAGTTTTCGGATTCTAAGGGGCTAATGCATTGGAATGCCCCCTTAGAATTTGTGACGTCAGCGGAGATCTAACGATTTTTAAATCTTAGACTAAAACCATCGTTAACACGTGGTTTTCTAACACGTTAACACGTTAACATCGTATACACTGCTTTGCGCGCAACGTCTGCCGCTCTTCGACGCTGCCAAATTACTGCTTCCAAATAAGTCGCTAGGAACAGCGGAGATCCCAAAAAGTAAACAAAAGTAAAAGCCTAATAACTTGAAAACCAGTGAATATTTTTCGGTGAAATTTGGTAGATATTCATTTTTTATCTTTCCGAGCCAAGGACATCACTTTTATGCCAATTCATCAACTTTTTGAAGGTGGGAGGGTCCCTTTAAAGAGGAAATTGGAAGGTGATGTCCGGCTGATAGATAGCCAGTGCATGCAACAGGACGGAGGAACCGCTTAAACGGCCGCCGCAGCCCGTGACTGGCTGCGACACGCTTCGAGGAGCGGCTCCTCTCTCGGCTGGTGGCAAGCATGACCCGTGCATTATCCGGACCTCAACGCCCCTAAAATTCCTACTTGAGGACATCTGAAGGTATAAAAATACGGAATGAATAGGAGAACCATCATTGGGCTGAAGAAATAAATTAAGTGCGCGGCTCGGGGCATGCGACCGGAGTTCTGTCTCGCGGAGGTGGCACAAGTGATGCAGCACCCGTCTTTGTGCCTGGAGTGTTTTGGTACCCTACCCATCGGGCCATACCCTACCCTACCCTACCCATACCAAAACTACCTACACATAATTAATCTTCTCATACCCGATTTAACCCGGCAGTTGCTGGGGTATTTCGCCACCCACCGTTTGCTGGGGGGGGGGGGGGCGTCAAACGCCCCCAGCCTCGTCGAGAACCAATAGGCGCAGCGAAACGCACGAGGCGGCAAACGAAAGAACGCGACGAGACCCTTCAGATGAGTACTTTAAAGTTGAATTTTGAGGTCAAAGGTCGGGTCAAGGTCAGGTCAAACAACTGAAATCGGGCTTTCAGTAGCATGGACTTCAGGACTTCGCAATGGGCGCCTCTCGTCATAAACTGTCAAAACGGTAAACGATCCATCATATAAGGCCTACAAGAGTGTCAGCTCCATGTATGGGTCAGTCAAGCATAGGTCAGGGTCAAGGTCAGGTCAACCGGGTAGGCACATATCCCCGAAAATCAAAACGATATTCGCAGCCTGTGACACATGTTTTATGGGTAATTTGGGACGTAGAACACGATGGTCACATTCATTTTATCATATGTGTACGTGTTTGGCTCAAAAAGTTCAATTTAAGAAATGCGTGTATCATGGTCGTGAAGTAGTCACGAGAAATTGCCAAGATTCAGTTCAAGGTTTTGGAAAATGCGGAACGATAATCAATAATCGAAGATAGCCATTTGATTGTTCATGGTATTGGCAGTCTAATGGCGTTTACGGCATGTCTGTATGTCTATTCTGTGATTTTATATGATTTTTTAAACATATGCCGTTTTTGCTCGAAAACTCAGAAATCATGACGTCACTAAAACATCGATATCTCAAAAATTTCCGACCGATTTTTTTAAACTTTGTCACAATAAACTTCAATCAATTCCCTACAGGTACCGTAAACGGGGGTGACTTTGCCTTGCTGGGTGACTTTGCCATGCTTCTCAAAAAATGCTTTAGGGTGATCTCCAGTGATATTTTACGAAGAATGTAATAATTTTTTATGCACAAATGAAAGATAATTGATGGGCCTTCCAACATAACCAACACTGAGAGATAAATCACCATAAAATACCTAACTGGGCTCCATTTTATTTGAGTCATTGAAATGGTCAAATTTGAAGAGGTCCGAACTTTGTATGATCTAACCATGTTTTAGACCAACTGCGATGCTGAAACTCGGTATGGTTGATCATGACAAGGCTGTTAAGCTAGCATATCCAACAAAACTGGCATTTGTCACTTCATATAGCTAACATTTTTGGTGGCAATTCTTCCAAGTGAATTGCAGGCCACATGGGGTGATTTTGCCACCATGTTATCAATGCAAAAATGAAATACTTACCCGATGCAATTCAAAATAAGTTTTAAATTTAGCATCATTTTGATGTCCAAACTGGTTTTTAAAACGTAAAAGTTTATATGTTGAACATTAACACAGGAATGCACAGTGGCAGTATAGAAAGGCAAAAATAACCAAAATAAAAAATGGATGAAGCTGGGCCCAACTTTTCAGCACAGCCATGATCATCTACAACTCCTGAGCTTCCCAGTAGGACTGGCTGAAAAAAATCTGTATCATTTTATAGATCAAAATGTTGATAATAAGGGTGTCGGTATGTTCCCGCAAGAACGTCCTCTTTCTGTTCCTCTTAATGCCGCTGGAAAAAGCGGCAAGGTCCTAGAGTACCGATACAATAAAATCTTTGCTTATTTATCTATTCTGAACCATTTTTCAGTTTCTATTTACTATCAAATATCAATTATTTTCAACAAATATAATGTATTATAAAAAGTAAGGCATCCCTCCTTTTTTGTACATCGTTTAAGAGCAAAAAACCTCGAATTGTTTTATTTTTTCCTATTAAACAATTAAGGATGGGTGCCCTTCCTCATACAATGGAACAAAAAAGCTTGAAAAGTATTTGTTAGTGTTACAAAACATTATTTGGCATAGTGGCAGAGTCACCCCTTTTTCAGTTTAACTTTGCCACGACTCATTTTCCTTAAAAATCATATTTTTAGGCAATATATGTATAAATACGATAATAGCAAAACCCAAAGAGCTTATCTCCATCCGTGTTTTGAACATAGAGTCATCCCAATAAGTTGACAAGCTAAAATAATACAAGCGTCTAAAGTTGAAAACATGGCAAAGTCACCCCCGTTTACGGTACCCAAAATTGCGCGTCTTTTTTATGCTATGGCCCGGCGAAAAAGTGGGGGCATTTAACGCCCCCCCCCCCAGCAACTCGCGGGTTAAGTGATGTACCAAATTTGAGCGCAATCGGCCCAGGCGTTCTTGAGATATAAAAGCGGCCCGCTGCACGTGGGCACGCGCAAACTGAGACTCCTGATGACTTATGCCAGCCATCTTTCTAAATTGTCCCTATCAGTGTACAAAATTTGAGCGAAATTGGCCAAGCCGTTCTTGAGATGTAGAAGAGGACCCTTCACGTGCGCACGTGCAATCGATCCACTCTACCTGTCACACATGACCATGCATCGCCAGGTTAGTGCCCCCTCCACCCACAGTCCAAATTTCAGCGCAATCGGCCCAGTAGCAGCTGAGTTATTCCTAGTACAAAAAATGTGTTGTTTACTGGTAAGCGCATGTTTGAAGTGTTTTCTAGCATTGCAGCCCATGCTTTGATAGCTACATATTGTCAAAGGATATATATTGACTATTGAGTAGAAAAAACATACAGCACATGGGTGGACGCGTTTCGTCAGAGACTGTATTTCTTTGTCGATATTCGGGTGTTGAAAAGGTCTCTGACGAAACGCATCCACCCATGTGTTGTATGTTTTTTCTACTCAATATACATGTATCTAATTGTCTATACATCACTCAACATATTGTCAAAAGTTAATGACCTGCCGGCCATAAGCCATCGATCGGCTTTTGTCGAAAAATACCTGGAACGTTAACAAAACACGGTCGTATGCTTGAGTCCTTTTCACAAAAGTTTATTGACGTTGTGCTGGCAGCGCCGATAAACATGGATAAACATATCGGTCTCCAATCTTATTGGATCTTTAATGCATCTTATTCATTAAATTTGCTGGATTACAATAGGGATTTGCAATCAGTTTCAACAAAGTTGGTCTTATTAGATGGTCTACCGTATTTGGGTAAAGGCAAAAGTCACGAACTATGCTTTTTAGGAAATAAAAGGTGATTTAAAGCTTCAGGTATGTCACGAAACAAGCAAAAAACGAAGCTTATTGCATGTCGAGTGCCAGAATACCAGATTGAGGAAAGGACTATGGAAATATATGCGGAAAACGTTTCATTTAAAAAAAGAAAAGAAAATATGTAGCTTCCAGTTTTCACAATTACATTTATCTTTTACCACCTTACAGACAATTCGTTCAGAGACATCAGCCATTCAAGCCACTCTCATACACTTTATTTCGAAAATGTAGCAGACATTTTTTCGTCGAGGGGAAATCACGCAATTTGATTTTAAGGATATAGAGGATTCTTCATGGCTCCGAGTGGAAGATAAGGATATCTTAAATCCTAGCGGGTTACTGAAAAACCGAGCGACGAAGGAGCGAGGTTTTTCTGTAACACGCGAGGAAAAGATATCCGATCTTCCACGAGTGAGCCATGAGGAATCCTATATCTTTCTATGTTGAGGTTTATTCTTAATTAATTAAATATTATATCTAACTGTATTCATCTATGTAAAAAAAGATTTAGAGTAGTTTGTTTTTATTTCATAATTTTCATACATAAACAGCCATTAAAAATGCCGTTCGGTTATTGACCTATCATCAGTTGAACTCTTGATTTTTGGCTATGAACCCTCGAGACCTTATCTTTGCATCTCAGCGAGATGCAGAGATAACAAATTCTTATCTTTGCATCTCAGAGGAGTGCGAGATAGAAATATCCCTGCACTGTATACCCAATGGCAAATAAACCTCAACTAGAAAGATACTCTTGTAAGGTTCATCATATTCCATATTTTTCTCTTCTTCTGAAATCTTGGACAGTATTCACTATTCAGACACATCGAAAATGACTGCTTTGATTTAAAATCATCTTACTGAATCAACTGCATTACACTTAGTAACATTTAATTCGCGAGTAATAAATATTATGAAACGAAAAGATTAAGACTGATGGACTGATGTTGATCCTTTATATATGGCAGGCAAAAGATGGGTCCGAAACTTATTTCAAAAGTAAAATGCAGGCGGAAGACTTCCAATTATGTTCGATTTTTGTTTCCGCTGCTCGTGCAGTGCTGAGTGAAGCACTTTAAACGACCGGCAGCTGCTAAAAAAAAAAACAGACTATAGACGGAAATTTCCAACTAAGATGATTTTTTTTTACTCATTTATATCTGTCGCCTGAAGAGAGAGCCTCGCGGAAAAAGACGAGCGAGTGCCCCGTCACGAGACGCAGCGATTAGCATTAACCATGCGTCGGTAAAATGGGACAATCAGAAGTCAGAACACTGGGCATGTCCAGACTTAAGGCCGCCCCACACTGGATCTCGCATGCGGGTTGCGAGTTTGCGGGTTTTGAGTTTGCGGGCATAATACTAATTCATACAGTGATTACACCGTTCCCTTATGGTCACTCCATGAATGCAGTGAGGCCGGTACACCTTCAGAAAATTACATATTGTCGTAATACCAGCACAACGAACCAAAATTAGACTCCAACGAAAAACTCGCAGACCTCGCCGAACTCGCAGATCTCGCAACTAGGAAAATCGAAAGTTGACTCAAAACGAACTTTTGGAATGCGATGCATGGTAGCTCGCAAGCTAAAAACATGAAGACTCGCTTGTTAGATGGTAGTGTGGGTCACTCAGCATAGATTGTATTATTTAATTCTGAAGAAACCGGAAAACCCAAAAACCCGCAACCCGCATGCGAGGTCCAGTGTGGGGCGGCCTTTAGGGAGCTCGTGTCCCTGCCGCTACTCACGCGTCATTTGGCGCTGGCTTGAGATGTGCTTCTCCAGGGCCCGTCGCAGCACATACTCGGCCCCATAGCGTCCGGCCGTGCCATTGTCCGCCAGCAGGAAGTGGGTGTGCCGACTGTTCAGGGACGCACATCGGCTGCCGGCCAAACGTCCGCCCAGTTAGCCGAGAAGCACCACCGGTGGCACACTTGGCTTGAGCCGCTGTTACCATACCGCCAACCCAAGACAGTGACGCTAGACCGCGTATTTACACATTGCAACCGAGCTCCACCGTAGAGTATCTCATTTCCGTCGTAGTGTATTTCGCTGGGTGCGTATGTAATCCCTGGACATTATGAACTCTGGCCCATCCAAGGCACTGGCCATTTCGACACTGGGCATATCGTATCCTGGACATTATGAGCCCTGGCCAGAATGAATGCTCCCCTAAAGACAGAGTTGTTGTACTGGGACATGTTAATTGGTAAAAAGTGTTGTTGAACTGAACACAAGTAAAGTTTATATAAAGGTAGCTTTCAAAGGCTTCTGTCTTCTTCATCAGCCATTCGAGTGTTATAAAAATACATACAGGGTGGACCAAAAAGGATGGAAACATTTTGAACTCGCATAAAATATGTGTTATTGCATGCAGGTGACTGAAAATGATACCAAACGAGAGAACATTTCGTGGAAATTCATAATGACATCTCTCTCATCTGCTTTCTCTCTTTTTCAGTCTCTCACAGCAAATGTTTGAAGAGGCCACCTTTGCGAGACAGGCACAGAGCGGCCCGCCTGCCGGCTGACGCGATAGCCCGATGACACATGTCCTCTGGTATGACTCGCACAGCCTTGGTGACCGCTCTCTTCAGATAACAGAGACTTACTTAACCTTCCTTGTAGACCTGGCCCTTGAGATGACTCCACACACATTGCTCCAACAGACGGTAAATAACTTTTGAAAATACCCATCTGTTCCCGCATTACAATTTGCTTGCGGGTTTCCCCAGGAATAGCGCGGCGAACGCGGCCCTTGATTTGTTTGCGTGGCGCACTGCGCGTCGTGGCCAGTGATTCGGCGCTGAGATATCTGACACGTGGGCTATGCCAAAGGAAGGAGAGAGTAGGTGACAGAATAGATGATATTTATGATTATGTTATTATCCAAATGATTTGCCAATATGTTACTGACTTGTTACGTTACTGATTTAACCATTTATTTGCTTTATTTCTCATAATTTTGGCTGTGATATTCTATGCTTTATATGAATGAGCGTCATATTTGTATCAATTATCGTTTTTATGGACTGATTGTTATTTATGTGTATTTTTCAGTTATTACGTACATCAAAGAGGCGACAATAGATAAATCCTATGAAATGAATCTTTTGCCTGCCGTAACAGTAATAATCTCTCCTTCCTTCTCCAGTTATGGCACAATGAATTCCTCTCTGGCCCAATGGGACAAAGCCGTACCAGGGTTTCCCTCCAGTGTAGTTATTTGCTTGAATTTTGAGGTGTGTTTTTAACTAACAGTGTACCTACCCATGATTGATCCTGTTTTATTATGTTGAAGTTGGCACTAACTGTGGCACATGACTAACATGAACTGGTAGTGTAGATTTAGAACAGAATTTTGTTGAATCCTACCTACCTCGTCATTCCAATTACCTGCACACCATGGATCCGACTGATGATCAAGAGCGTGTTGTCACAAGGCCCGCCCAGGCACTGAAAATGACTGAGAAGGGTTACCAGTACCAAAAGGAGTTGAAGCTGAAGATGTTCAGACAAATGCTGATCAAGCTGGAGCAAGACGGAAAGATGCTTCTGGATGATCTGACATCTGAAGATGATGAAGACAGGATGCAGCAAACAGTTGCAAAGATCTCCAGATGGCAGCACACTTACATTAGACTGAAACAGACAGATGGTGACCTGCGTTCTCTTCTGGGAGGAGATTATGATGAGCACAGGACAACGTATGAGCAGAAACTGATGGAGTTGGAGGTCATGAGAGCAACAATTGAATCTCTGACACCAGCCCAAGGAGAGGATGTCAACCAAAAGAAGGCAAAGGATCAAGATGAATGTTCATCTGCGAAGAGCAGGTCATCAAGATCAGGAATGTCAATGAGAGCCCAGCTGTACATGTTGAAAGTAAAAGAAAGCCAAAGCACAGTGGAGCTCAAGACAAGAGCAGCTGCTCTTGAGGAGAAGTGCCAGCTGGAAAGAGAAATGAAAATGATGGAAACCCAAATGCAAGAACTGAAGTGGAAAGAAGAACGACACAAACTGAACACTGAACTGAAGATTCAGCAAGCAAAGACAGAAGTGATTAACACAGACATGACAAACTGTGCCAACCCGCAGCTGACCGCAGTTGAACCATCTCCACCCCCAGGTCCTGAGCCAGCAACTGGACCAGTGACTGTGTCTGTGTTGACTGAGCTTCTTTCTCAGCAGGCTCAGAGAGATCGTCTGCCTCAGATTGAGCCAAGCGTCTTCAGAGGCGACCACACGACATTCCACATGTGGCTGAAGGCTTTCGAAGCCTACATTGAGGCCAGATGCTCGTCACCAAGTGAACGACTCCATTACTTGGGGCACTACACTGCTGGAGATGCTCGGAACTCCATTCTCGGTTTCCTACAGCTGAGCTCAGAGGACGCATACATGCAGGCCAAGAAACGACTGACAGACCGATATGGCAATGCCTTCATCACTGCCAATGAGTTCAAGAAGAGGTTGTACAAGTGGCCAGAGGTGAAGGTAGGAGACAGTAAGTCACTCACTGAACTGGCTGACTTTCTTGAACAGTGTTTGATGGTTTCAAACTCCATGCAAGAGCTGAAGATGTTTGAAGGCATGCATGAGATTGACATGGTCATCAGAAAACTGCCAAGGTACATGAGTGACAGTTGGAGACGGGTGGTGGACAGGTGGATACACGAACCTGAAGATGGTGCCATGCCTCAGTATCCTCCCTTCTCACAGTTCGTCTCTTTCATGAGCAAGGAGGCAAGAGTCTCTTCTGGTCCTGTGACGTCACGGAATCGGGAAGAAGACAGGAAGAGACCACCGACAAAGAAGGAAAGAAACACACATGTGCTTCTTACATCTGTGCCAGTGAATCAGACACAGGAAAACCTGCAGCTTCAGCAGCAGCACTGTGTCATCTGTAAGGACGATCACTCCATGGATCAGTGTGCAGCGTTCATGAAGATGTCCTTGAAGGAGCGGCAGGAGCTCGTTCGGCAACGAGGACTGTGTGGAGGCTGCCTGAGACGAGGCCACAGGTGGAAAGAGTGCAGGAGGAAGCAGCAGTGCGAGAAGTGCAAAAGACTGCACCCTACTCTACTGCATGATGAGAGCCTTCTGAAGCACAGCAGGACGGCTTCTGCTTCAACAGGAACCCAGACGACGGCCACGTCGCTCCATGTGACATCCAGTGACACGAGAAGTGTGAGGCTGAAGTGCACACACTCAATGCTGGTGCCCGTCCAGCTTGAGCATCGAGACTGTCCAACCAGCAAAGAGATCGTGTACGCGCTGTTGGACCCACAGTCCGACACCTGTTTCGTGAAGGATTCTGTGTTGCAGAGAATGGGTGTGGATGGTGAAGAAGTGGCTCTGGAAGTGAACACGATGACCGGGAAGACTGTCTCCAAAAGTCAAGTCATCAGGGGCTTCACCATCCGAGATCTCTCTGGAAGCCAGAAGATAGAGTTGCCTCCCACATACTCAAAGGAAGACACCCCAGCCGAACGTCAGCTCATTCCACGACGTGAGACTACAGCCGAGTGGACACATCTACGTGAAGTCTCCCGAGAGCTGCCAGAGTATCGTCCCGAGACTGAGATCGGTATCCTCATTGGTGTCAACTGCTCGAAGGCCCTGAAACCCCTTGAAGTGATCACAGGTGGAGACGACGAGCCGTGGGCGATTCGTACGAGCCTAGGCTGGAGTGTGGTTGGCTACATGGGAGAGGCCGAGGAAACTGACGGACAAGAAGACTCTGCGTGCCTCTTTATCTCGACAGAAGCAGGCCCAAAGAGGATTCAACACTACGCGTTCAGAGTGAGAGCCAGAGAACTACATCCAGAGCAAGTCGCTAGAATGTTTGACTCTGACTTTGACCCACAGAGAGACAAGGGCAAAGCGATGTCTCAAGACGACAAGCAGTTCCTGAGGATAATGGAAGACGGTATGCACCAGCTCGCGGATGGTCGTTTCGAGGCTCCACTTCCGCTGCGTGAGCCAAACACCAAACTGCCGGACAACATTGAACAAGCTCAGGGCCGTCTGCAGTCCCTAAGCAGGAAGTTCAAGAAGGATTCCGACTACAAGGACCTGTACGTCAGAGCTATGGAAGAGATGCTGGCCAAAGGGTACGCCGAGCCCGTCCCTGATGAAGAAATCGAGGCCAGCAATGGACGTGTGTGGTACGTCCCACACCATGGCGTCATCGAAAAGAGGAAAAACAAAGTCAGAGTGGTATTCGACTGCAGTACCGAGTACCTTGGACGATGCCTCAATCGGGAACTGTTGCAGGGACCTGACTTCTCCAACAACCTGGTAGGCATTCTGACGCGGTTCAGAAAGGAGAAGATCGCGCTGACATGTGACATTGAGGCGATGTTCAACCGAGTCGTGGTTTCACCGCCGGACAGAAACCTGCTGAGATTCTTGTGGTGGCCGGGAGGTGACGTGGAAGAGGAGCCTGTCTTGTACAGAATGACCACGCATCTCTTCGGAGCCATCTCGTCGCCTGCGTGCGCCATGCACGCTCTGAACCTGACAGCAGAGCTGTACGCGTCGAGACACGGAGAGGAAGCAGCCGCCTTCGTGAAACGCGACTTCTATGTCGATGATGGGCTAGCTTCAACGCCTCGAGCAAGTACGGCCATCTCGCTCATCGAGAACACGACGAAACTCTGCGCTGAAGGCGGATTTAAGCTTGGAAAGTTCGCCAGCAATGACTCTGCAGTTCTGGGAACCATCCCGATCTACTCCAGGTCCAAGACGCTGCAGAATGTGAACCTCTTGAAGCACAAGACTGAGCTCTGTGAGCAGGCACTAGGAGTAAGGTGGGATCTGTTCTCTGATACGATCCTGTTCAACATCGACATCCCTGAAAAACCACTGACCAGGCGA